TGACTGAAAACCCAAAGACACCAATAAACCCATACACTAGAAGGGGCCCCCACCCTGTAATAGTGGTAAAATAGGAATATATAATAGGGCCCTACTATAATCCTTATAGTCACTATTACAGGGTGGGGGCAGCTTCTAACCCATACACGAATGCGACCTTCGGCTGAGTGCTGCAGTCGCTCTTGCCCTTGCCCACCGGAGCGGGTACCTGAAGAGTAGGTTCGGCAGGTGCTTTCTCAAGGTTCATAGGCTGCAACTCAGGCTTTATTAAAGAGGGCTGTTGAAACGTTTTGGCCTTAGGGCTTAGGGTTTTGAGGTTTGAGATATGGGAGTTTCCGAAAATAGGGGACCCTAATCTAATAGGATCCTGATTTCAGGGACCCCAGAATAAGGTACCCCTAATTTTCGGAAACTCCCATATCAGGCTGAGGTTTAGGGGTTCGGAGTCTCGAAGCCCGGGGAGGCCACAAAAAAAACGTCGTTCACCAGGCCAGGCAAGGGCTTCTATACCCCTAAACCGTTTGGGTGGTTGTCACAATTAGGGTCCCCTTTTTGGGTACCCTAAATAATAGGTGCTGTATTGTAATGGGGACCCAAAGAGGTACCATAATTTTGACAACCGACCATGTGAAGCCCAGAAACCCTTAGCACCAAAGCCGTATAAATGTTGTAACCCCCTGGGCCCAAGAGCCTGCACCGTGTCAACTCCAAACCTTGAACCCCAGATCTGGTTCAGGTTGAGGAAGATCCTGAAGCCTGTACCTGTAGTCTCCACTGTAGTTCCTTTTTTGGTTATCCAGTTTTATGGTTAGGATCCTATGATAGAGGTTTTGGTTAACCAAAAAAGGAACTACAATGGAGACTGTTGGTACTCTAGACCCCAAACCCTGGCGGTGTAGGACCCTTTTTTTAGATTCTTGAAATGCCCTTGTGCCTTAGGCAGGTATATAAGGCATATACATGAACAGTTCTCCAAGGGCCACCCAACAGAAAAGAGAGCAACAACCAGCTGAAGCTACCCTATGTCCCCGAAACTCGGTATCCCGCAATGCCCAAAACGTATGCCAGCTGGCACTAATCGCTCCAAAATATACATCCGAATCAGATCTTCAATCCTAAACCCTAAATTCTGTCCCCCAAACCTGGCACCCTGACCAACCCCAACACTCGGAACCTGCGTCCCGCAAAATATGGCCTCCCTGCAAGCATTCCTTCTGGTACGCCTCATAAGATCCTAACCCCAAGCCACCCAATTGCGATCTCCGGCCTCTCCTAAGAGAGCATCCTCGTCGATGGTAGCTGCATTGCCCAGGGCAGCAACCTAACGTTCTCGACTGGGCAGACCAAGGTTTACCTATAGTCTCCATTGGAGTTCCTTTTTTTGGTTAACCTTTTTTATGGTTAGGACCCTATAGTAGAGATTTTGGTTAACCAAAAAAAGGAACAACAATGGAGACTATAGGTAGTTCAGAGATGGGATAAGCCTGCGAGAACAGGCTTGCGTGGGGATGCTATGCAGGTTCTCTGTATGGATCAGGATGCTCTGATCTAGACTTCACGGTCTTACTTGAACGCGCATTTGGCGTAGTATGCACGGTTAGTAAGATGGGCTATGGGACTGGTATAGAGGGTTCACAGAAAGGGATATCCTCTCAACTTGCCAAGGCAAAGACTCTCCAAGCAGGGTTCACCTGCAAAAATTCAGAAGCTACAGGTTGAACATTGATTAACAGTAGATGGGTTAGTAAGTTATATCCAGAGAAGGTACTTCTATCTTCTACCGAACTATGAAATCGAGCGTATTCGGGCACCGGGCCCCGAATCTCAAAAGTGGTACGTTAAGTGTATATGTTTGAGGATGGCTGGTGAGGTTCGATATCGATGTGCATCCGGGGAGGTGTAGAGTTTAGGGATATACGCTTGCCTGGAGCGGATTTCAGGGTTTCGGGCGTGATTCGAGCGCAGAGGCGGGTCAGGAATGCCGGGACCCACTATCCACCTCCTTATGGCATAAAGAATCAACAGCGGGCTATTCACCAGATGCCTAGTCAAACTGGAGCTGATCACAGAGGTTGTGAATCTAGGCTGCGGTCCTGCGGAGCCTTCCACTAGGGCTTAACATGTACATATAGGCCTTATAAACCCTAAGGCTAAAAATCTATTTGGGCCTTATAAACCCTCAACCCCTAAACCCCTAAACCGCTTTAGATGGCTCCATGTTGGCTTCGAACTCCGAGGTCTCCACTGCGCCCGTGGCCCAGCTGGGCTTCGAGCAAGAGAACTCGACCTCCCAGAGCTGAGTTCAAGCTTAAGTTTAATATTAGTTGTCAAAATTGTGGTCCCTTTGGGGGTACCCTTAATAATAGGTGCCCTATTACAATAGGGACCCAAAATTGGACCATGATTTTGACAACCACCCAAATATAGGGGATTGTACTCTAAATATAAGCCCCCCCCAAGGAATACTCCCTAATCTGAAAAACACCGCCACTGAATGCTACGATCGCAAGTATCCTGCGAGCAGAAGTATCGAATCCACACCCTAAACCCTGAACCCTACTGATCCCTGATAGGAGCCCTTAAAGGAACCCTTATAGATCCGTCTAAAGGCATCACGGATCCCTGAACGCGACCCTAAACCATGTTGGGAGCTTCCTTCTCAAAATTGGGGTCCCGTTTTGGGTCCCTAATATAACACGGCACCTATTATGTAGGGTACTCGAAAGGGCGACCATAATTTTGACAACAACCCATATGCGGACTTCACCAGACCGTGCCGAACACAGGCCACTGCCTCCGAGCTGTGACCTTTGATGTCCATGCCCAGAACTTGACACAGCTCGTGAGCTGGGACCGCAGGCCCTCACGAAGTGTTCTGTCTCTTTCAGGTGCACACCCTTATGACCGCCGCTTGCCTTGAGGCAACACGAAAAACATATGTGGCACTGGTGTCGCACACTTGGGCTTGGATGCCAGGATCGCCTTCTTGAGCGATGCCCACGAAGAATCTTGCCCTGAGGCTTGTATCTTGCAATACATGCCGCGGATCCTCCTGAGCACCTGAAGCTCGCGCTCGCCTCTCTGTAAAGACGTATTTCCGGATCTCAAGATAAGCTCCAGAATCTCTGGCAGCTCCCTGGCCCTCTGGAACCGTGCTTACAATCGGGAGAACCGGCTGCCTCTGGGTATTTCCGTAAATGAGGGTCCTTTGTAGGGTCCTGTTTTATAAGGGTGCCGTAATAATTTGGGGACCTGGCGAGGGACCATACTTTAGAGAACTGCCCCTATGCTTCTGTGGTGCTTTGGACCTCTTAGTAGTTGGCGGTGCTCAGGATCTATCACCCTAAACCCTGTGACCCTGGCCGTTCTACCAGCATGATCAGTTCAGGGTTATCAACTCTGACCCCTGCAAGCGCGCATAATTGTACATGTGCTAGACCTAAGAGTAACCTAGGAATAAGAAGGGTGCCCTTTTTGGTTTAAAGGAGCCTATAAGGGAACCTGAACCCTAAAAAAGGGAATAAGGGCCTACTCTAGGTGCTAGTGTGTGAACTTCAAGCTCCCGACTCTGAGATAAGGAATACCAGGCGCACTCACTTCATGCTGAAGTACAGACCGACGCCTTTGCAGAGCTATTCGTCTTCAGGATTACGACCCGGCTTCCGTGTTCTGGACCGGCAAAGACTGGTCGGTATACCTCCCCACCCTAAGTTCTGCACCCTCTCCTCCAAGAATACACCTCCAACGTCTATGTGGACCAAACATAGACACCACAAGAACAACTCTTCAGATCAAATCCTAGCTGCATTTCCTAATCCTGGAACGCATCCTCCTGGCAAGCTCAAGGCAGCGGAGCCTGTGCCTTTCCCGATGGAGTCTTCATCTGCACAAAGGTTCTTGGGTACTACGGTACATCATAACCTACCCATTCGTACGGGCTTTTTGTAAACTGCAATGTTATTATAGAAGTTATACGGACCTACAGACAACAACTAGGTTTTGGTAGTTCAGGGCAAGGGTTGGGTCTTAACGCTTCTTTCCGAAGATGCAGATGTCTCAGCCCTACTTCGAAAACGACCCCACATCTCCAGACCCTAAGCCCCAAACCTCTGAAGCCTAATGTCTAAACCCAACCTCCAAACCCCAAACCCTAATTCAAGCACCAATCTCCCAAAACGTTTGCGGATGTTTGCGGGGTTTCAGGTCAAAGGCTTTCGCATGTTCAGGATTCAAAACCCTGAGTCGCGGCTCCATGTAGCTTTATGCTTCGGTCTTACAGCACCTACATAGGATCCCATCTAAGGCCTACGGACATACTACTACTCGTACGAACTCTTTTTGCGTCCTGGGCCCCTAACGTTCTTTCAAGGCATCCTCCAAAACGGCTGGTAAAGAGGGTCCTCAGAGGGTTGAAGGAGGAATTGATGTGTTATGGCGTTGTTGTCAAGGCTTTGTCGAGATTGTTGAGCTCCAGTTTTGTATTTCCTGTAATTAGGGTTTCCACGCCTCTAAACCATCTTACCTGGATCCCAAAAGTATGTAGAATAATAGCCTTCTTAGGGGAATTGGGCCGTTGTTTTTACCTACTTTGGGGGGGTTTAGGTAACAGTTCGATCCCCAAATCCTGCACTTCTTCCTGACGCCCAACCCAACCAAACACTGGGAATGCCACATCCAAAACAAGGCAGATGAGCTGGTTAATTGAAGTTTACGGCCCCGGGTTTACAATCGGGAAGCCCGCTTGCCACAAACCGACTTTTTTGGCGCAGATTGCTCAATGCGGAGGGGCGCCCCTCGGCCTAGAGCTTTCTTTCCCAGAGAGTCCAAGACCCCGTACTAACGGAATATACTTATCCACTAAGCATTCAACCCTCGGTGCACCTCATAAGTTATACCCTAATGGTAAACCTCCAAATCCTGCGCCCTCAACCTGTAAACCCGAAAGAAGCCCTGTCTGTGTCCATTCCTTCGTGTAAAGGGGTGGTGGGCTCTCTGGGAACTCACTTCTTCCATCGTCGGCTGCGCGCATCGTCGGCGCTAGCCCGGGCCTAGGCGTCACAGCGTCTGCTCGGGCCGGCGTAGAGTTTAGGGAACCACAAAACCCTCAACCGCCCTAAACCCTGGAACCCTAAACCCTAAACTCGAAATCCAAACCCTCAATCCCAAACCCCACCAGAAACAGGATAAAAGGACCCCTGGGATTGACCAACATCTGGTCAAAGACCCGGCAAGAGCTTGCTTGCTTTTGAAAAGGAGCGTAGGGTTCTTAGGGCGGGGATCTTATACAAAATGTCATATAGCTTGCTTGCTTTCGGAGTCGGCGAGGCATAGGAGTGTAGGGTTTTTAGGACAGAGATCTTATACAAACTGTTCTCAAGGTTTCCTCCAGAGGCTTACTGGGGCGTGCATGAAAGTTACAGCAAAGGGGTCTTAGAGCGGCTTACAGGGTTCTTTCCCTAAGGCCCCATGCAACCATATAAGCCTTAAAGTAGCTATATTTCGGGACCCCATTAAGGCTTAGAAAATAATGTACATGGAGCCTTTGGGTTTCAAGGATTTATAGGGCTCTTATTGGGAGTTAGGATTAGGGGGACCCTTGGGGATATAGACCCTCTCAATTAGGCCCCTTTTTAAGAGAGCCAAAGTAGGGTTCAGAAGGGGCGCCCTTTAAGGGGTCTCCCTAATAATACTACCTACTTATGCGGCTTTCATCCAGAAGTCCGGGCTTCCCGTCCGCTCTGAAATCTGGAACTCCATACGACTGGTTGTCAAACCTAGGGTCCCTTTTTGGGGTACCCTAAATATTAGGTGCCGTACTATATTAGGGACCCAATAAGGCACCATAGTTTTGACAACCACCCATATTAGCTCAGAAGCCAAGCTTCAGCTCCGACGTCGTGTTTAAGCTTCGGGGTTCAAGTTTTTGGGCCTCAAGGGATAGGGGTTCATGGATTTAGGGTTTGAGGGTTTAGCGTCTACGCCCCTAGGGTCGAAGGGTTGGAAGCATACCTTGAGGCGTTGAAAGCAGTGTTTGCGACACAGCACACCAGCAGACCACGTGCGCTACCTGGAAAAGAAGGGCCGTGAGTTGTCTCCGTGTTGACAAACCTCTGCGAACCTGAACCTGAGATCTGGGCTTCGAGCTTGGGATGGAGAACTGTGGTTACCAACCTGAGTGTCGCACACCCCGAGTCGCGGCGGTCAGCTGACTGGGGGAGATGTAGCACATGCCCACCTGACGGGCCGGGCCGGCTGTCAAACTAATGTAGGGTGTTCGCAGCATGCCTAAGCCTAAAAGAGCATTCTTTGCCAAACATCTCCAAGCCACACACCCGAGCCGCAAACATCCATACCTAAAAGCCCAATCGCCTGACTGACCTTCGACTCCCCTCAAAAACACCTTAAATCCCTAAACCCTTGATCTTATAGGGCCCTCAACCCTGCACCCTAAACCCACGAAAAAGCCCTCAACCCTTCAAACCCGGCCTTGTAGTCGGCATAGCCACCCTCTCGGTCATGGCGAACCCCTCCGGTGGGCCTTGGCATCAGTTTCCTGAAGAACTCTTCTTCTAAGTTCACAACACCCGACGAGAGGGTCCGGGATAAGACTCCCCACATGCACATACAAGAATACAAGTATACAGGTCTTGAAGGCGCAGCTGCGTCATTGAGTCCCTGTAATCAAAGATTTTGGGAATTCGGATAGGCTTTTGAAGTTTTGGTGTACAGTATACTTTCCTTATCATCAGGAGTCGTAAGGAAGAACATAGGTAAGCATTCAGGCGTCGATTTGCTTCTACCCAGCCCTGCCCGTGCGTGAAAAAAGGCTGTCGCCCATCCGGGTTTGAGAACCAAGAGGTTCGGGGCTTGAAAGGCTCTCAAGTCCAGGGTTTGTGGGCTTCTTCTGTAAGCCCTTCCTATCGCAACGGCCACCACAAAGAGACCGGCGTAAGCATACTGTTGATTACCGTACGCCGAAAGGGTGGAGAGCACGAAGCCCTGACCTCCAAACCCAATACCCCAAACCCGAAATGACACACCTGGGCTGGACGAGGATATCTCAGATCTGCCCACCGGTTCTCACTCATGGACTCGACAACTTAGTCCTGCAACAATACCCATCTAACCCACCACCACGGAAAAAGGCAGAAACACTGCATAGAGCTTCTTACAAAAACCTCAAGCCGGACGACTCAAAGACGACAACGGCCGAGAAAGCCAGATGAGGAGGTGACAAGTCAAACCGTGGAGATCCACAAATTTTCAAACCCTCTCCAGGTTCCCGAACCAATCAGAAAGCCTAAACCCCAAAGTCCCAAACCCCAGAACACCAAGCTCTAGTGTATAAAATTTCTGGCATCTCGGGGCCCATTCAAGTTCACCAAGGCAACACCCAACGTGCCCATAAATCGAACTTCGGCTCAAGCGGCGGATTCCGCTTGTGTTGCACAGATCGCTTCTGCTTGTACAGCCTCCAAACATCTCCAAACGATAGGGGGCAGCATCTACAACAGGTCTGACGGCTTGTACAAGGCTTTTACAAGCCTTTCATCAGGGTTTTCGACAGTATCATGCCCCCCTTATCAGCGCGTGTTTCGAAGAAGCCTTAGCATGTGTTTAGGGCTCAAGGCCTGGATCCAGGGTTGAGCGTTTAGAGTTTAGGGTTTGGGATTCAAGCTTTGAACAGAACCTGGATTAAAGGTCCACTCCGCTTCTGCATTCCACATCCTCCCTACGACCTACACTTTTCTTTGAGGTATACTTCATTCATGCCCCGACACAGCTACAAGCTGTAGGTTTGGCAGGCTGAAGCTGTCACATCCTTTGCGTCAAGGGCTGAGTGGACATATCTTCGTCCATGCACTGCCAATATGATGCGAATCTGAAAGGACCTGCCTGACACGAAGCAAGTCATCGAGAACCGAAATTGCCGAAAGCAGATGAATTGCCGACACGACAGTAAACCACATCGCAGTGGCGCTAATCCCTCCTCCCTACTCTTAAGCGACACCCCCCAACAGAAGCTCGAAGAATGGCTTAAGTTTTGGAGTGGTGGGTAGCTGGGCGTCTTGCTCTTGCTCCTGCTCCTGGTGCTGCTCTTGCTCCGGTCTTGCTCATGCTCTCATGCCACTGCCCTTTCTCTTACTCCTGCTCTTGCTCTTGCTCCTGAACGCCAAAAAGGTTTTACGAGGCAACATGTGCAAACTTACAGCTCCAACCCGTCAACTGTCAACCCTTGTTGGAACCTTTTCTACAAAACCCACAACCCTATTCCCTACTGAAATTGATACCTGCACAATAATTACTGCTGTTGTTTCTTCAGGATGGTGACCAGGAAATGAACAATGGTCCCCCTAAGGTCCCACCCCAAAACCAGAAGCCTAAACCTTTCTGAGTCCCAAGCTTCACGAAGCCGCCCTGGGCCCAATACTCGTCGTAGTAGGCGTGCGAGGGTTTCAATATCACCTCCCCGAGGTCTCTGAGGTTTGCAAGATTTTGGGCTTTTGGTTTAGGAGGGTTTCAAGATCAATTTCCGGAGCTCTATAGGGTTTGGATGCAGGAGGTTTAAGGCTACAGGGTTTGGTTTGTCATGTCAAGGTTAGGTTCCGGGGGTTTGCCATGTGTGCTTCCTAGAGTGGGAGGGTTGGGGCTTGGGCAAAGCTACCAGGATCCTCGAGCCTCATTCACCGCCTGCTCTCCCGAAGCCCTAAACCCTGGACCAGACCCGAAGCCGTGAGCCATCATTTACCCGAATACCCTGATTGATGACTCTTCCGGCGCGGGAGACCTCCAGCATTCTTCATTCTGTCGGTGAGCTGACTGTGCTCCCTGTAGCGCCTTTCTTCCAACATGCTAAAGCCAATCCACGATCTAGAAACATGATGCTGCAGTCAGATTACAGAAAGGTAAGTAACACCGTCAAGTCTGGAAGTACAGAGACGCGAATTCGCAGCCTTGGGGGATGTTCTTCAACGACTTTTCGAGGATCCCAAACCCGAGAGCTTAAACTCCAAGCCCTCCCTACATGGACAATTTGGTTTGAACAAGTTATATATTCGTCCCCCTGTCGAAGTCAGTCCTTAGATTGTGGGGTCAGGGTTTAGAGTATACAAATTTCGTTTGATTTGATTTTTTCCTACTTACCGATTCCACTGATCCTTTGTACTGCGATGCGGGTATGTTGCAGCACATGTTTCCGGTGCCTCGGGCAGATTCTCCCAGACCTCAGATATGGCAAGGACCTATGTCAAGTTGTGTAATGTAGGGGCAACAGCAATAATCGTGGTAGTCTACGAATAACAAGCATAAAGAATAATCGTAACAACACATGGGAAAACAACAATAAGAGCCGAGAAACCCTGCGGATTGTGCTTAATTCAGGCCTGTCCTTATTCTGCGGAAACTCTGTGAGTACATGTCTTAGGCTTTCAAAGTTTTAAGTCCTCACCTGTACTTAGTTGCTGAGTTCTGGGCTAATTAAAAGTTCTAGTTGCTGAGTCCATAAGCCCCCAAAAGTGTACACTTTCAGTCTATTAGTGGGTAATATTGTCCCAAAAGGTGTAAAGTGTATCCACTCAGCTACTAAGTGTATACTCAGGATACCACCTCCGCCCCGTTCGAGGGGTCTAGGCCTCTGGGCTTGGGCATGTCCACCTTCTCTTCACCTCTAGCCACGGTTTAGGGTTTAGGGTGGTTCTTTCTACAGTCTTGGCCTCCACTGCTAAGCAAATGCTCTGCTGCTTCCACCGTAACCCTTTAGTTGTGTGTCATTGACCGATGCACTGTGCATATCGCCAGAACTGGACCAGACTCTGTCGGACAAGTGTCGAAGGTTCAGGTTCAACAGTTCTTCGGCATGCTGCCTAGACCGCAGGTTCACAGAAGCATCCTGCTATCTGCATCACGACGTAATCGAAACAATGGCGTCTACAGATTGACACATGTCATCATGACAGGAACATCCGAAAGCCGAAATCAAGCACTTCCGGAGCTCTGGACACCCATGAGCAAACACCTTCTTGGCGGAGTGGCGATTTGCGAGGCCTCAAACTCCACATACCTTGGGGCAGGAGCTTCACTTGCAGGCTGCGCGACCGTGCATCGTTGACGACATATACCGCTCAAACCAGGCCAGGGACATTTTCGTTACGACGGTTAAGGGTGTCATATTGCTGCTGCTGAAGTGGTTGGAAGCTAAAGAGGCTTCTTCAGTCTGGGGTAACGTTTAACATAAGGGTTTCGGGGGTTCTGATCCCAGAGGATGCTTCTTAACATTTACTGCATACCCATTCCACTGTATCTTATGCCGGAAGCTAAGAACCCACAATTCTCTATGTATGGTTTTAGTTACGGCGTTACTCACGTGAATATTCGCTCCCGCCCATTACGCTAAACCATAAACATCCGAACAACCCTTCTAGAACCGTAGAACCCTTGTTAAGCCCTGAAAATTTTACAGATCCCAAATAACACCAGCAAAGACCCTTACAGTAACCCCTTAAACCAGCCCGTATAGTATTCCAAACTGTAAACCCTAACCCGCCAACCCCAAAACTCATAGTGCAGTAGCCCCATACCACAACCACGCAAGCCTGCATTGTTACTTGCTCCGCAGCCGACCAGGTCAAGGACTCGGCGGTACCCCCCAATCGTCTTTAGGACCCTTTTGGAAATCCTTTTATGAAGACTCCTGTGGAACCCCTTGTAGAACTTCTGCGGAAAACCTAAGCCCTACAGTAACTAGACCCCGAAGTCGTCTTTAGGATCCCTTCGGGGCCTCAGCCCTTAGTAGATACCCCGATCAACTCAAGTGGATAAGGAAGCCCTCATTTACAGCCGCAATCCTGTTAAAAGAGCCCTCCGGAGCCCTGTTAATAGAAGCCTTACAGCTAAAAAAAAACCTGCACCCCAAAGGATTCAAGGTCCAGCCGCGGGCCATGATCTCCGAAGACGATGCGCCGATAGCCGCGAGCTATGAGCCTGGACAATTTCAGCTCTTCAGTCGAGGGCTGCGAAGTTTCTTGAATTTAAACAATGACTTTTAAAGGCTCAAAGTCCGGGCTCAAGGCTTCAAAGATTTGAGCTGGGAATCACAATTTGGGGTCACGGGCTGACGCTTTCGTTGTCTCTTGCTTTGGTTGTGCTGCACGCTGCATCCCTCGTGCTTGTCCGCAGTTTTACGGGCTCTAGAGTTCAGCAGTTCAGAATTGGTGGTGTCGGGCTTAGATCTTATATACTCAAGCCGAGAGTATCACTTCGTGCACCCCGGATGATACATCCTGCTTTAGGGTTCAGAGTTTAGGGTTTTCGTTACGGTTAAGGGTTAAGGGTTTAGGGTTTACGGTTTAGGGTTCAAGGTTACGGTTAAGGGTTTAAGCTTTGGGGTTCAGGGGTTTTCAGCTCTGCTAGACATACCTTTGGTTAGTAGGGAATGGAAGAATGGTAGTAATACTAGTTATAATTGTACCCCATTCCTCCCTTCCCTACTAACCCAAGGTAAGTAGACTGAAGCTCCAGAGGCCAGACCCCAAACCTTCAAACCTAGAGCCTCGAGCTCTTCCAACCTCGAGCTCTTCAAACCTCGAGCTAAACCCTGATCCGAACATTCAGCCCCTGCACCGAAACAGCGATCCGAGGAGATATAGACCTCTGGACTCTTAGAGTAGCATCTTGGGGGGTTCTTGTATTCGAGTGTATGTATTCGGGTACCGTAACGGTATAGCATGCAACTAATCTTGTTAACACATCTCAAGAGTCAGTGATCTCAGATCTTGCAGTTGGCCTTTGCGTTGTCCTGCTGTTTCCCGGATGTCACCTAGAATGCCGATGAAGGCAAAGTCATGATGATGAGCCACGCCCCCAGAGCATCGAATTGACCGACATCCCGATGTGACATTTCGCGAAGCGTATAGAGCTTGGCATCCCTGGAGTACCGCCTTGCTGCTGTCGTGACAGCTGTCGCGGCAGCACAAAGCAGCCGGAAAAGTCCTCCTGGCCTCGCTTACCGCTTCCTCACTTCCTTCTGAGCTTGCTTGCCACCCCCTTTCATGAACAATGTCTCGTCTTGCCCGACAAAGCTGCCGGAAGCCTGCTGGGAACCACCTGGCTCATCGGGGTGGTGCAGCTCCGACTGGCGGCGAAACGCAGATTCCACATGAGCAAACACGGTGGGGACTTCAGTCAGCCTAGAAGACCCAGCGCCTGGGACAAGGTGAGTACGATAACAGCACAGCGAACCGGACCCACTCCCAAAGGTAGCCCTCTCGGGATCTATTGCTTTGCATAAGATCTAGAGTGATTTGGTGCTGGGCCTTGGCTACTGCAAAGAGAGTACGATCCTGCAACCTTCGCGCAACCAACCGCACAACAGCACAACCAAGCGAAAACGAAACTTCCCTCGAGAGAAAAAGCATGGGTAGAATACCAACCACAATAACTCGAACAACGATGACGACCACAACTACATCTTAAGTTACATGGTGCTACTGGGTAATGCATAAAGATGGCTTTACAACGGTAGACTACTAGGTATGTGACAAACTACAACGGCAATCAAGGGCCTGCTTGGCGCGGAGGCATCAAAAAGCTCCTCCTCACCACCTTGGACTGAGGCTGTCCGGGTTTATGGCCTTAGAGTTTCAGACTTAGCGTTTAGGGAAGCAGTGTTCAAGGTTGAAGTTAGGGAGTTGCTGCTGATGGACAATTTCCTGCACAATCCACTCCGGCACTCGAATAGGACCCAAAACCCTAAGCCTCTAAATTCCAACACCCTCCCAGACGTTCCAAAGTCCTATATGGTAGAATGTAGGGTCTTCATACCAGGAAATACTACGATGATTTGGGGAAGTATCCCCCATAGCAGTACCAAGGACCCTTTGGGCCTAAGCCCTTTAAACCCCTAAACTCCAAACTGAAAGGATCCGAGGTATTTAGGTCTCGAGGCCGGCTTAGGTTTGGGTTCTTGCGAAAGGTCGAGTTACTGGATTTAGGCTTCAACAGGGAAATACTTACCTTTGGTTAGTAGGGAATGGAAGAATGGTAGTAATACTAGTCATAATTGTACCCCATTACTCCATTCCCTGCTAACCAAAGGTAAGAATAGGGTCCAATAGGCTAGAGGGTTCCAAATGCTAGAGGCTTCTAGGGCTTGCTGTATAGGCTTCGATGCTCCAGGGTTTAGGGGTTTAGGGTTCTATGGTTTAGGCATCAACTAGCTTGGGTTTTAGGGTTCTAGGGTTTAGGGCTTCAGGGTTCTAGGGCTCTAGGATTACTTACAGGGGCCTTTGTACATTATGGGACCGTTCCGCAGTAAGATGGTATACGGAAGAGCTCCTTGAAAGGAGGCCTGGTTTAAACCAACCAAGAGTTCCACAACATCACAAGCGCGCGTGTTCTGCGCAGCCCATGTTCTAAACGGAGCACCCTATACCTAGAGGCTCCAGGGTTCATATTTAGAATCCTGTAAGGTAGTCCCAACAAGGAACTACTATGGAGCCTATGGGTAAACCTGCTCCCCTCAAGGGATCTTCACCTGCATCTGGATAAGCCGTATAGTAACGCTTATAGACCCGTTTAGAGGATCCCTGTTCAAATTTTTAAGGCCCCTGAAGTAACGCTACTGAATCCTTCAGACTTGATTCTCCTGTGGGAGAGCCACAGGCCCGGGTTGGTTGCTGCATGCCATTATTAAACTCACAAGTTCGTGTTGAATATGCAGTCCTACACACAGAGGGAGAGAGCCCAATATTAGAACCCGAAATTCTAGGATCCCTATTTTTTTAAACCTCTGAGAAAGGGCCCCAAGTTCTGAAACCCCACCATGGATGGGCAAAGGATTGAGCGGCACATTGCAACAGGGACTATAATGAGAACATGAAGTACCGGTTTCAAGCAGGAGGTTTGGGTCACGAGGTGCATGACATGTTGAGAATTGAATCTTAACCTCATCAACACTCCATGATGTCCAAACGGTTCAACATTCCCAAGCCAGAAGATCAAAGCATCCAAACAGTGGCATCTGAATCCTGAAGCAGTCTATGCTGAACGGTTTCTGACACTCCAACCCCTACAAGTAGCTGGAACTTAAATTACCCACCGTTTTTAGGGACATATGCAAGGACATCATAAAGGCGAACCCTGAACATGCCAATACAAGATCATAGGGACCCAAAGAAATTGGAATAGAGTGGTTATGGGGGCTGGGGTAGGGTGGGGTGTATCAACATAGTTTCGTAGAGACTGCGCGGCGATATGATTGCAGATTTGTTGAGGTTCGGGGTATATTCTAAATACCTGTTTTTAGGGGAAGAGGAAGACACTACTGCCAATCATCCTGACCGTTGTACTTGAACATGTCCAACACTTGCTCGATCTTGTTTAAGAAACCTAGATATTCATTTTGTCGCCATTGCATAGGCACGTTGTTAACCATTCACCGTGCATTCCTGCAATAATGTGTTGAATCAACATCTGAAGCTCCTTGACTACAACCTTCATATAGAGCCCTAAAAGACCCTTGCAAAACCCCAGCCAAAAACTGTGAAGCCCTAGCCTCGCACCCCATAGGCCATCTTACAAGCAAGCTAGTCCAGCCAAGCAACTACTGCCTTGGGGATAGCTGGAATAAGGCCCTGGTAAAGAAAAAACAACAAGAACAAGTAAACTGGAGGAAGACTAGTGGCAAAATGTGGAAACAAATGTTGGTAGCGATTGAGCCCATTTCACCACGCCGCGGCCCGCCGCTGCCCTTGGATGGGCGACACAAGCTTGCCAGGTCGCATCTTACAACTCGGTGCCCTAAACCCAAAGCTCCGTTCTCCATGGACACCCGCTGTGGTGAGCTGCTGAGAATTGACATCCAGCCAAAACCCGACGTCGTCGTTCAGGCTTCTATATGGGTAATTGTCAAAATTAGGGTCCCTTTTTGGGGGTACCCTAAATAATAGGTGCCGTACTTTTTATAGGGACCCAAAAAAGGACCCGAATCTTGACAACCACACATATAAGTACCTATAAATCTTAAAGCCGTCCAACCCCCGATACAACCCTTCTTGTCGATACTCTTTACGGAACCCCCAGAAACAAGCGCATTTGCCCGTAAAACCCTTCACCTTAAGCCCAAACCTTGAAACTTGAGCCTTATAGCCTTAAGCGCCATTCCGTTTAGGGTTTAGGGTTTAGGGGTTTAGGGTTCCCATGAACCCTAAAATCAGAACCCTAAGCCCTGAGGCCCTTCAGAGCACCCGGCCAGTCTCGTACAAACCCAGCTCTGCTTCGACTCTGTCCTTCGCGCTAGCAAGTTCGGGGGTTGCTACCCAGGCCCCCTGGAGGATCTAGAAAGTAGGGTTTATGGTTTAGGGTTTTAGGGTTTTAGGGCTTCAGGGGTTTAGGGTTTAGGGGTTTAGGGGTTTAGGGTTTAGGATCTAGAAAGTAGATTCCCTAATTTGGGGCCCTATACTACTAAGGCCGCATTAAGGGATCTACTTTTTGGATCCTCCTGGGGTCTGGCTACGGATTCCTTGCAAGGGATCTACAACAAGGGGGGGTTTGGGCTTCAAGCATATTGGGAAAAAATCTTTCTCCCCGATCTGTTTAGTTCCTTGCAAGGGATCTACTTAAAGGAGGGTTTGGGCTTCAAGCATATTGGGGAAAAAATCGTTTTCCCGATCTGTTTAGTTCCTTGCAAGGGATCTACTTAAAGGAGGGTTTGGGCTTCAAGCATATTGGGGAAAAATAGTTTTCCCCGATCTGTTTAGTTCCTTGCAAGGGATCTACAACAAGGGGGGTTTGGGCTTCAAGCATATTGGGGAAAAATCGTTTTCCCCGATCTGTTTAGTTCCTTGCAAGGGATCTACTTAAAGGAGGGTTTGGGCTTCAGGGTTTGAGAGTGTGGGGTTTAGGGCTTGAGGCTTTCAGGTTCAGGGTCTGAGGCATTGTGGGATATGGGCTGAGGGTTGAGGATGGTTGCTTCGGGTGAAGGAGCTTAGCGTGTTTTGGTGCTCTTGGGATTTAGGGCTTCGGGTTTCTGGCATTCTGGGATTTGCTGTTTTGAGTCAGTGCACTTCATAAGGTTCAATTCAAAGACTAGGATACCCAGTAACCTAAGAATAAAAAGGCCTCTCTTTTTGGTATTGGGTAACTTTATAAGGAACCTAGGACTACAAAAAGGGAATAAGGCTACTACTGGGCATCCTAGTGGTTCAATTTAAAGATGCTCTGGCTTCGGGCCCCGGGTCTGGGGTAGGGTTTAGGGTTTAGGGTTTCCGTCGAGGGCTAGGGTTCAGGGCTTCAGTCTGCAGTTTGACGCAACCCTCCACCCCACATACATTCGTGTGCCCCTTGCTTCACGATAGCATATAAAGCTTGATCCTGCACTTCAGAAGCTCCTAGGGTCGGGATTTTTGGGTTAATCACAAGTGTCATGCCCATACTGCCAACAGAGTTCGTAGGCCTCGATATCCTGAAGCTCCTAAGTGACAACCGGAAGCTAGGCTTCGAGATCCACTCATAGGAAGCCTCGAAGATTCCGATCCCTCCCCTCCCGTCTGACGCCTACATGGAGACTTCCGACAGAAAGGCATCCCGCGGCTGAAGGCTTGGGGTTTAAAGAGTTTTGGAAATACTTCTGCTACTTTGTGTTTACATAGGGGTCTCCTCGTGCTGGAAAATCTATACGAGCATGGTCCAGTCTAGTGAGTCTAGTATGCCGCCAACCCCTTTGCGCAACTATCCTTAAGTACCGAATACTCCAACCCCCAGACTTCAATTATACAAGCAGTCTTAACGTACACTATCGTGAGAAAAGATATGAACAAAGGTAATCAGTCAAAGTCCCTCCGCGAAAAATTGAAACGCCCAAACTTTCAATCTCCAAAACCCTAAATCTCGAATCAGCCCTAAAACCCAAACTAGCAAGGAACCGAAACCCCGATACCCCCATAGACACTCTTGAGAGAAGAATCACCCCTAACAGGAACGCAGCTCCTTGTCACGGAGCCGATTCCAACAGTCTGCGGTGCTCTTGGGCAAACTCTCCTGGTCTGAGTGACTCTTACACACAAGATGGTTTAATAAGGGTCTGCAGTTCAGGGTTTAGGAGTTTAGGATCCAAGAAGGCGTGTGGTTTGATTGGGGTTGAGGATTAATTACGGCTTGAACAAGGGCTTGTTATGGTTGTGTCAGAGTCTATCAGGGTTCATCAGCCGTGCGCTCGTAAGTGGCTGTTGACTTGTATAGTAGACAGAAAAGGTTGGCAACATAGATTACGTGGACGGTTCAAGGGTCATTGTGACTATGTAGACTTGCTGGCCTACCTTAACCTACCAAAACCTACTTTTTTGTAGGGTCCCTTTCAATTCCATATTAGGGTTTATAATAAGAACCTACAATCAAGAAGGTAGTCTTAGAAGGCCAGGCTTTACAAAAAGCTTAGAGTGGCTTCTGTATTTATGGTCATGGCATCAGAGGTTTCGGAAGGGTTCTGTGGAGACAGCAAGAGGGTTCCGTAAGGGTTTTGTCCTAAGTGGTGAGCGGCTTAACCAAGAAGTACTGCAAGCCTCCAGACTACAGACCCAAAGCCCCAAATCCTGCTCGCAAACTTGCGTACATGCCTCAATCGGCAGCATGCTGTACCCATAGGCCCGAAAGTAGTTCATTTTGGGATTACCTTATAGGATTCTATATATGAGCCTCAAAAAGGAACTACTTTGGGGCCTTAGGGTAGCCCAACAGATACGAGGCTGGAAGTGTCGGCCTGAACATACAGCAAGCATACCTTAACCTACCAAAACCTACCTTTTTGCTTGTAAATTCCATATTAGGGTTTATTGTGAGAACCTACAAAAAAGTAGGGGTTGGTAGTTTAAGGTATGGCCATACCCAAAGTTTACACCATGGATTACACTCTTTATACACCTGCACTGACTCTGGTCCGATACCATCCCGAATGCCTAAACCTAAACCAGGACCATCAAGCGTGGTGCTTTGCTTGGCTACCTTCGCTTCTGGTACTAAGATCATACAGCGGCGATCCAAAAATCTAATTACTGCCTTCCATAGGGCCTAGTTACACCATCCTAAACCCTCTGTGACCCCCTGAAATCGCCTCATGAGGAGGCAAGTCGTCGAGGGCAGGCGTGTCCAAATAGCCCGCCCTCCCTGCGCATGACAGTTCCCAGGCTTTAGGACTTCTGGGCTTCAAAGTCTAGGTGCCTGGTCAGGAGTGTGACTTAAATTGCCATAATAAGTATAAGGGTTACTGTTCTTCCTATGAACCTTACTATGGTAATTCCCTTGACAAGAACCCAAGAATAAGAAGCGTGCTTGTGAAGAGTTGGGGTTCGAGGTTTAAGGTGCTTCAATTTCTGGCTTCTGACTTCACGGCGCTATAAAAGCCACCACCACAGGCTTCGGTTCACCCGGCGAAAAGTCAAGTCCTTCTGGAGCCAGCAACACCTTTCAGAAGCCCTGCTTAAACACCTCCCAGTGAACCTTGAAGATAGGGGAGTTTCCGAAAATAGGGCGTACCTTATTTGGGGTGCTTATAACAAAGATCCTACCATTTAGGGTACTATACTAGGGTCCCCTATTTTCGGAAACTCCCATATTGTTTTTCACCCAAACTGACGCGGTGCCTTCTCTTTGGGAGAGCTCGGGCTGCCTCTGCATGGCATGGCCATCGGCGTGGGTTCGGAACTTTTGGGGTCTTCGGGTTTAGGGTTGAGGGTTCCGAAGAAGGGCTTCGCGGGGTTTCTCGAAGGCCCTAAGGCCCTGAACCCTAAACTCCTGAACCCTAACCCTAAACCCCCGAACCCCTAAACACGGTTTTGGGTTCATCAGTGATTCATGGGAGGACTATGGAAGCCCACAAAGCTCTCTCTAGATACGTAACGACCATACGAAAGCCTCTAAGTAAACGTCCGAAGTGTCCAACCTAAAGCCCCAATAAATATACACCCTGAGCAAAGACAGCCCGGTAGCTCTTCCGACCTAAAGCCGAAGGATAGATCCTAAGTACCAGAATGCAGGATACTTATACAAAGCATAAGTAACAGTAGAAGCCGTGTATACGTTGCTGTCTGTATGCTCTGGGGGTGCCTTTAGACAGCCCAAACCCAAAGTAAACTCAAACTAAACCCCAACTTCAAACCTTGAACCGTAACCCTAACTAAACCAAGGCTCTGAAAGCCAGCAGGCCGGCTTCATAGCTCGAAGTCCCGATATTAGAAATCCGAGTTACATGCTTCTATAGTATCCGATATTAGAAATCCGAATTGCGTGCTTATATCGGGCATCGTAGGTTGATAATGATGTTTGGTTCAGGGTTGGGTCTGGGGGTTTAGGTTCCAGATTTTCGCAAGGGTGTCGCGGGTTGTGCTTGTCGTGAGTACCTCCTGCTGGCCCTTCGCACCCCTCAGGCAACGGTAAAGGTTCCAGATTTTCGGGCCCCCGATTGGGGGGTTTAGGGCTCCGTGCAAATTCCGGCGAGACATTTCTTGGCTACTCCCTGGGAAGGGCCCCTGAACCCAAAGTACCACAGATCACCCTTTTGAGGGTACAGCCCTCATCACTGTGACCATGTTGAGATTTCCCCGTAAGATCTTATCTTGCCGTCCTCAACAGCTAGCGGCTTCAGTCGGGCTAGGGCTTAAGGCCAATCCTATACCTCCCTTAAAACCATCATAAAGATATTTTCTTTTAAAATGTTCTCTTTGGTTCTTATATGAACAAGAATAAAAAAAAACAAAGGAGACTATAGAATCCTGTGGGCGTGATATTACATAGCGGCTTGAACAATTTGACTTTAGGGTGCACTGGGGCTGCTAACTCACATTACACCGTTTTCTCAGGCCACTCTATTTTATCGTATACCCGAAGCTTCGACGCAGAAGCCCCGACCCGAGACTCGCAACACTAGATCATCCTAACCCGCTCCAAACCATCATTACTGCTCGATTATGAAATCGTTGAAGAATCGATAAGAGCCCTAAGTCCTGAACCCCGAAATCCGAAACACCCACTGCCAAGACGCCGCGAGCTCCAACGCGTTACGCGCGGCGCAGGCTGTGCAACAGCCATGGCTTTTGGCTTTCCAACAGTGCTACAGTTTTCTACGACGGTTCATAAGGCTTCCTATAGGGGACCCCAATATAGTACCCTAAATAGTAGGATCCTTATTGTAAGGACCCCAAAATAAGGTACCTGGAAAGGAACTATGAAGCTGTTGGGCAGGGGTTTCACGTGGGTGGAGGGCCGAGACGATGCAAGGCTTTTCGGTCTTCCTGCTTCAGGGTTGTCGTGGATGCAGTTTTTTCCCGGCGGCAGGCTGACCATTGAGTTTGCTCTCATCATTCAGATAAGGCACTACAGTAGCCGTGCAACAAACCATCCAAATTCACTCAAGGATGTCGGGAATTCAGGGTGTTGGATTCAGATTCACGGTGCAAGGGGGGGTTAGGGGACTAGAGTAGAGGGCTCGGGCTTCAGGCTTTCGTTGTGATGTGGCCACGGACAGACTGCGTAATGCTACTTTGTGTACATGCTCTCTTATAGCCTGCAGTCAAGCCATGCACACGCTGCAAGCCAAGGCGACCGCCTCGACATGACTGCAGCAGGTATGCGTCTGTCAACTGTCCTAAGCACCATTAAAGAGCGAGGCACTAAACTCTAAACCCAGTCACCCTAAACCCCTGAGCCTTAAACCCCGAAACCTTAAACCCCTATACCCTGTCAACCTAAACGCTGACCCTCCTGGGTACGCAGAAAGCACCATAAGCTCGTGCAGAACCTGCTAAGCCCTCAAGCCTTTGAGCACCAAACCAAACCGTCGAAGTCTCAGAGTGGGTTGAGAGGAGGCTTAATCTTAGGGTTTAGGGTATTTGTGGGCTAAGGGTTTAATGCTTTTCTACCACAACGACAAAAATACAACTGACATTATTGCCTTTACCAATATGAAAGTTCTTTACCCTGTTTATTCGTTTACATTTGTGAGATTTTCTTTGTTAAACAACTGAATACTGCCTTCATGAACTCAAGCAGGTTATAACAGCACGCTTTTTGTTGGGTGATGTTACTGCTCGTTCAATGTTTTCTATTTCATTGACTATCTCAATATATCCGGTATATTGTTAGTTACTATCCTTCATATATTTTTCCCGATCCACAATGTCTAGGTAATATCAAACATGATTGGCCTGGACTGGCATGGCCGGTGATGTGAATATGAACGGAACATACTTGTCACCTTGGCACTCAACCTAAAGGGTCTAAGTACCTGTATGGTAGGTTCTTTGGGATCCCAAATATCCCAAAGTACTTCCTATATAGGTACTTAGACACCCTTTGGGCAATATTCTTTCTCTTCATGATGAGCGGTTGGGCACACAACACTGGCCTGAGTTATCGCTACCAAAACAGACGAGCCGACCATCTGACCGCACTGCACAGGTATGACCACCGCCAGCTGAGACTGCCAAAACTGGTCCCACATCTGCTGGCACATCACACTGCCCATCTTCATTGGCTCCGAAACAGATGAGCCGACCATCTGCCCGCACTGCACAGGTATGACCACAGCCAGCTGAGACTGCCAAAACTGGTCCCACATCTGCTGGCACATCACACTGCCCCGAATAAGTTTCTCCGAAACAGATGAGCCGACCATCTGCCCGCACTGCACAGGTATGACTTTCGCCGGCTGAGACTGCCAAAATTGGTCCCACATCGGCTGGCACATCACACTGCCCCGAAAAGTTTTCTCCGAAACAAACGAGCCGACCATTTGAACGCAGGGCACAGGTATGACTACGGCCAGCTGAGACTGCCAAAACTGGTCCCACATCTGCTGGCACGTCACACTGCCCATCTTCATTGGCTCCGAAACAGATGAGCCGACCATCTGCCCGCACTGCACAGGTATGACCACCGCCAGCTGAGACTGCCAAAACTGGTCCCACATCTGCTGGCACATCACACTGTCCACGTTCATTGTCTCCGAAACAGATGAGCCGACCATCTGCCCGCACTGCACAGGTATGCTTGATGCTAGCTGAGGTTGCCAAAACTGGTCCCACCTCTGCTGGCACATGACACTGCCCATATTTATCCCATCCAAGACAGACAAGACGACCATCTGCCGCCACCGCAAAAGGAAGGACAGTTGCCAGCTGAGACTGCCAAAACTTGTCTCAACTTTGCTGGCACATCACACCGCCTACGTTGCTTGAGTGCACCGCAGGCTATCAAGCAATCCTTCCTCACGGCGGACTTCCAAGAGTATGGTGAGAATGCGGGAGTGAATCCAACTGTGCATATGTTTCCGGACAAGCATCCACGTGGCAGCTGCGGCAAGGCGAAACGCGATTGACCCAGCACGGAAATGCGCATGTAGCCAGCGAGGGCTGGAAGAAACACCTGCAATGCCGTGCTCGAGGTCCAGGAGACTATGGCAAGTGCCAGGCCAGCTTTCATCACGGTTGAGACATGTATACAGGAAGGACTCGTCCGGAGACGGCACTTTAGATGCAGAAATATGACCATCTGGACAAGTAGGCTTTTTGCTGTGAGCAAAGACAAGAAACCATAGAACGTTGGAAATGAACCTCCCGACCAGTGTGATGTAGGTATGCTCGAAAACATGTGCCTTCATTAGCGTTGCAACCTTATCCCTAAACGTTAACCCTACTATCTTAAAAGTGTTAACATCGACATTTCTATTTTCTAGTGTTAGGGATTTCGGGCTGGGTACTATGGGTTTTTGTATGGGGGTATTGGTATATGAGGTTGAGTATGTCGTTTTTTGGTATGGGGGTTGGGCATGGTTCCATAGTATGGGTTCTTCAGCTGGGTCTTGGGTTGAGGTCTTCGTGTGGGGTCTTTCGGTGGGTTGGGGGTTAAAGTATAGATTGTTTTGGTTTGGGTCGGCAGGCGGCTCGGGCGGGTGGGCATGGTTAGAAAATGGACATGGTATCTGCTAGCAAAATATTGGGTTTAGGGTTTTATTGGGTTTTGGGTCTAGGGTTTAGGGTTCAATATCGGGTTTAGGGTTCAGGGTTTATTATGGGAACCACTACTATGCTATACTATACTATACTATAACTATACTATACTATACAATGCCCCCTATGCTCTACTGTACTATACTACTAATACTACTGCGGAAACCAACCAAGGACTAAACTCTCGCAGAGATTCGCAGCGTCCGCTCGGGCGTCACTTTGGCCCACCAGCTGAAACACCGGCGTTAACGAATTCGGATCCATGCACGTCCACTTTCGGGCACGGGCATCAGAGACTTACAATAACAAACCCCTCGCCCTTACTAAAGCTATAATCGGAATCCTACTTATTCGAAATGCCCCACAGAGTTGGGGTTGTGCCAAAATCTGCCCAACTTGTTCGTCACTGCCCTCCCCGGTTCCGTGAAAGAGGTGGGAAAAACCACGGAAACATACTGATAGGCACAAAATGCTTCCTGGAATCCCTTTGAAAGCTCAAAAACCCCTACCCCCAAAACCCTAAACCCTGAACCTCCGAAGCCCTAAACACCACAACGCAAAAACAAGCATTCCTTGTTGCTTCCGTGGTCGTTTGGGTCTTTCTCCACTCGTTTTTCAGAGGCGCCACGGAGCTCGGAGAGCCTGCAGAGGGGCAATCAATTGGAAGCGAGTTTGGCGGGATACGGTAGTTTGCGAAACCAGGGGACCCTAATTATAGTACCCTAAATAGTAGGATCCTTATCACAAGGACCCCAGAATAAGGTACCCCTAATTTTTGGAAACTCCCATACTCGTACATGTTAATCAGAGGCAACCCAAGTAACAGAACTCAGTATTGGCAACTGGAGGGTCCTATAAGAGAGGTTGAGGGTTTAGGGCTCGAAGGCTTTACAGGTGTTAAAGGCTTATCGGGTTTACTAGTTTTTAATAATCAACAAACAGATACGTCAACAACTAAACAAGCCAAGATACATATCTGTGTATTCATTTATTCATTTGTTCATGTACATGTGTGTATATATATATATACAGATTAAATGTATGCATGATTTTAGGGCTTCCCCTACCAGCCCTATGAGGGTCTTATAATGAGTGTCTGCACATAGGGGTTTTACTATTGTATAATGACGGTCCTCAAAATGTTCTACAGACTTTTGTTGGTATCGGGGTACTGCAAAGTCTAAGTTTAAGTACTAAGAAGCACATACACTTAGGCCGCCCTTAAAGGTGCTGAACCCCAGGGCCCATAAAATTCCATATGGCTTCATCGGACTTCCGAAAAGTAAGAGCCAGACAAACCGTAGCTCCTTGCTCTCCTTGTTTTGTGCAAGAGTTTTGGCGTTTAGGGCTTAGGGTTTAGGGTTCTAAACCCTAAACCCTCTCACTTCAACCGGCATGGTTGAAGGAGCACAAGCATTCCATGCGGGTCCGGAACAGAGCCGGCTGGCCTTCCTGCGCATGACGAACCGGAGCCTTTGTTTGCCAGAGTTCAGAAACCCTAAACCCTAAGCCCTAAACCCCCGCTGACTCTGCTCGCATTCTGCTCGTCTGTGCCGAACGCGTATTGCACCAGACTTCCCTAAACCCTAAACCCTACGTGAGCCCTGAATAACCTACCTTTTAGGGTTCCTTCTTATGATTTCCTTATATAAGTCCTCAAAGGGGTATACAGGTTTTTCCGGGTGAAGGTAAACCCTAAACCCCTAACCAGGTGCTCCAGGGCGTGCAGGGGGATCCTGCAAGTGTGCCTGACTTTATGGCTTGAGGCAGTTTAGGGCTCAGGGGTTTAGGGTTTAGGGGTTAGTGTGCCCAAAACTGAAACCTGAACTAAACACCCGAGCAGCACGAAACTTTAAGCCACTGAACTCTGACCGTTCCCCTGTAGCTCTTTGAGAACGGGATTACTGTTATAGTTCCAAGTATCAGCAAGCAACACCCCTGATTAAACAACATATAGTACCAAAAACAAACAGAGACGCCAGTACATGGGAGTTTCCGAAAATACGGGACCCTGAGATAGTACCCTAAATAGTAGGATCCTTATAATGAGGACCACCAAAAAGGTACCCCTAATTTTTAGAA